GCGTGTTTTATTAAAGAAAAAAAAAGAGAGAGAAATACGGCATGGTCTTAGCAATGACTTCACGAGAACGATCGAGCGATACATTGAATCTTTCTGACGTACTTAAAGTAGAGTCTAAGAAAATGATTATTTAAACGAGAAAAGAAAACCAAATAAAAGCGACATGTTGTTTTAAATTATACAACTGCCAACGTAATCACATTTTATGACAGAGTTATTCAGCCAAGTTATTCGAATCGTTCTCCCAAGTACGTTTTGCTCGATCCTTCTGCATTTAACGATCTATACTGACACGCACGAGATGTTCCATTTTTTTGTTTTTGTAATTAATTTAATAAGAGGGTTATTGAACGCGAGCGAGAGTAGGGAACACGGTGTTGTTCTTCTTTTTAGAGTTAGCGGGTGAATACGTGCACCAGTGGATGCGAGTTGTCTCATTCGCCTACAGGGATCGATATTCAAAGTGTGTTCTAAGCCTTTTTTAAGCGCGACTTGGTTTTCTGCAAGGCAGGCCGAAGAGCAAAGGGGCTGCTCACGTTATTTCTGTTACTTTTTACACGACAACCGTTCTAGTTTCTTTCTCGTGATTCTTTTCGCCCACTCCTGGTGGACACCAGCGGGTAGTCTTTTTCCAAGGTAAAATGCTGTTTACTTTGCGGAAAACAACAATAACAAAACTATGAAAACGATCATTATGGGTAGCCCTAATGTTTAGAGAACAAAAAGAAAAAGAATATGTACGTGATAGGAGCCTGAGGAATGCGTGAGAGTCATTCGTGGTTGCGAGACACTGACCGACCCGCTTTGTATTTCGAATTCGACGAATCAATCGATGATGCGCGCTTCAACATCGAATACTTTAAATGTAATTGAACCTTATATAACATTTTTTTCTTTCATCTATACGAATATGATCGTAGATAGAACACCCGAGCAAGGTGTCCCTTTTTCGTTTCTTGCAATTCGAACGGTAAAAAGAGATGAATGGCGATGATGTTTGGGACTCAGGAGTGCCAAAAGTGAAACAAAGAGATGTTCTGAATTACCGAAGATTCTCACGTATTCGACGACTTCGAAGATACTTACTGCTCTATCTAAATGAAAAAGAAAACGAAAGAAAAAAGAAAAAGTACGCACTCTCTTCTTCTTTAACGATCAGTAGTCTTTCCTCCTAGTTGTTTGATGTTTCTTTTTTAAACGCAGATTAGCTAGGTCGGCTAACAAAGTTATTATTTAATTGAAAATGAAAGGCTTGACTGCGCCGCTCGAATTTCTTCAAGCAGGTTACAATTGCGCTTTGATTGAAACAGTTACCATGTAGCGATCCTATCAGAGCTACTATCGTTTCCTAGCCGGTTCTTTTTCTCCGTTTTCTATCTGTTTTCAATTACCTAGAATAGTAGTCACACTGGCGATTCGGAACTTTGTTATCATTCAAAAACGCCATCGTCCCTCTATAAATTTCCCAATACGTTTGTTGATTGACGTGTTTAACGACTGTATGGGAACTGATTTCGACCAAAGCTCGCGAAGGAAACAAATAGTTGACTCAATTTCAAAGTACAAATCGAATATCCACGTAAGTAGAGGGTGAATTCGTGACGACGCGGTCAAGCCTTATCGTCAGCCATATTAGGCGAGTTGCAATGATGATACGGTAAGCAACGCAGCGGGTTCGTAACGACCACGATTTCGAATACGATACTTACTCCTATAGCACTCTTTTGTCTCAAGACGAGCAGCATCTGTATGTGATATACTTTCTACGTGAGAACTGTTGAATATTGTATTCACTTTAGTAGTTCCTAGTGTCTTCGAAATTTCTTTAATTTAGAGTCTCCCTTCTTGTTCGTCTTTAGAACATAGAAGTTTTCTATTTCTCGTTATAATCGAGAATGTTACGGATCAATCAATGAAGCTTCTGCTGGTGCAAATAAATCGAAACAATAGTTCATCAATGATACATTTAATGCATTCATAAACGTACAACAAGAAGTCCACTGCCGTCTAAACGTAATTCTTGAATTACTATCGATTCAGTGTGTCTAAGCCCAACAATTGATTTTGAAAGAAGGGTTCCCTTACACGACAAATATATCACAAACGCATAGTGCTCGTACACCCCTCGAATCGACGAGAACAGCGGAGCTATTGGAGTAAGTATTATACTGTGGAGTGCAGAATTGTTGATATCTGTGAGGGGGTGATTATTTTGTGAGGTAGGAAGATCATGTATTGTTAAGAACGTAGGAAAACAGCGATGATGATTATGACAGTGACGTTGACAATGACGAAGAACGAATGACGATGATAACGATGATGATGACGACGATGATGATAATGCTGATGCTGACGCTGATGAATAATTAATAATGGTCATGATGTAACTGCACATCTACGAAACGACTGTTTTGCTCCGCAATCATAGCATATATAGTGCGATGTGAGCCTGCGAATGGGACACATTGTCGATGCTCCATTCAGCAGGCTGCACAATTTAAACTCGATATTAATTAAGCAATGAAGATCGAAGAAACTAATTTACAATCGGTGATAGCTTAGGATAGGACCAAGAGAAGAAAACAAAAAAAGAAACGCAGTTCTATTTAGAAATTTTTCGAAATGGGTGTTCCGGCAAAACATGATCAGTACTCTTATACGTTTCGCAATTTCAATCTTTTACGAGGGGCAGAGCGTTCGATTAA